CTCTCTCTCTGTCTCTCTCTGATCAAACTGGAAAATAATAATGATAATAATAATAAAGTTAAATAAAATAATTCTTTTTTATTTAAATTTATTAATTTATTTATCTATTTATTTATTTATTTTTAATTTTGACCAGAGAGAGAGAGAGAGAAAGAAAGAAAGTGAGAAAGCAAGCTGCCAGGTCCAGGACTCAAACCATGGTCGGCCATGTAGGAATCCAGGGCCCTTAACCACCACACCACCTGCTGGCCCCCAAAGCAGCTCTCTTCAGTTGAGGCAGTCCCCAAAGGGGTCAGACAGATGAGGGTTCTCTGCTCTAAGCATTGAGTCCCTCAATCCTGAAAGAGGCTCAGAGACACATTACAATGTCCGCTTCCGAAAGGAAGGGGGCGCTATTGCATCTGTGTTGAATCCAAGGACCAGTTGGTGTGAGGCTGTGGTTCATTGTTGGCCTGAATTTTCCTCTGTGAAAATGGAAACAAGTCTTTGGGATAAAAACTGAGATAGCTGTGGTTTAGATGCTGGATGAGGGGAGAAGAGGTGCTTCAGGACCCTGAAGAGAAGCTAGCCAGGGATGTACAATAAGATTGCCAAATGATGTTGAGGTCTTAGTAAAAACTCGAGAACAAATTATTTTAGCAGGTCCAGTGTTGGGAATGTGAGACTCCCTCATCCTTGGTCACTTGGATCTGTCCTCACTCCTTTGAATTTATTATAGTTTGTACCAGGAAACGTCTATATTATTTAGACTGTTTTATGACATTGTGTTCCTGAATTCCCAAACTTTTTACCTAAACTATTTCCTGATGGCTTAACTTCAAGAACTACAGTATATAACTATTATTTTTTCTAATGACAATAGGTGCTGTTAATTTCAACAATCTTGCTAATGGCAAGCAAAACTGCATAGATATTCAAATATTATAAACTGATTAGAAAACTGTTCCAGGCTTGACAATGAAGAAGATAAACATTTGTCTGCAAGCAGATGAATAAAAATTACAGGAGTCAGGATTAAAGCTCATTAGTAGGCAAATATAAAATGCAGAAAATTACAGAGGAAAACTAATTATGAAGCTACAAAGGAAAAGAAAACAAAACACTGCTGTAGAATGAAATACAGAACTGGTGGTTCCACAGGTACTAGAGTGACAATAGACAAGCACACTGCCCGATTAAACGGGCTTTAAAATAAATATAGGAAATATATGGATGATCATTCGAAAACAATCCCTGGCTGTTCTGAAAGAAAGGGCCTCCACATGAGGGGGTGCACTTATGATGAGAATTCACTGAGCTTAAAGCATGGGCAAGGCAACCAACTGTGCCTTGCTCATAAGACCAGCTTGTCATTCATGAGTAACCATGAGCAAGTAGCACCGTTTTCACAACTGGCAGTAGCAATATGGTTCTTAGGGAGGAGGTGGGGATGAAATGTCCAATTGAAGAACGACCTCAACATTTGTCATGGGGCCTCGTCCTGCTTCTCGGCCCAGATTTGCTGCTGAGCATACCTTTCAACAAAGGTTTGCTGCGCATGCTACTAGCGACTCTAATTGTAGAAAATTTAGAACATAGAGGATGGAAGACCTATAGGGGGACAATTTAGGAGGCGTTACCTCACTAAAGCTGAAAATCACCGTAGATATAAGGGGAGTCAGTCATGTTTCTGGTCCAACTTTAGCGGAGAGATAGGTATTTTAGTTCATCTTGTTGTTAATAACAGAAAATATCTGAAATGGGTGACTTAAGAAACTAGAGGTTTATTCAGCTCACAGTTTGGAGATCCATGATCCAGGGGCCACATCTAGTGGGTTCTCCCGTTGGTGGGGTCCTGAGTCCATGCAGGGAGGGTGTGACACTGTGAGAGAACAGAACCTTGTGTCCCTGTGTGTTCAGTCTCTGTGTTCATCCTCTCTCCTTATAAACTCACCAAGAGACAATCACAAGGGCCCCACCTTCATCACTTCCAAAGTGACTAGGTATTTTATTGGTATCGTCAACACAATAAAGGTATTATTTCCCCTTAATACTTTCACAAATTTCAATACATGAACTGGGGAGGGGGAGCGCACAAACTATAGCAATGGGGATACCCACAGTTTCTAGGGTGGATTGCTTCTAGCAATATAATCTTTTTATTTTTTTTTTTTGAGAGATTTTTGCTATAGGCCATGTGCACTCATGGAGAGACAGAAAGTGAGAAATCATTCCCCCAGTTGAGCTACAAACTACATAGCCAGAGAGAGAGAGAGAGAGACAGAGACAGAGACAGTGAGAGGGAAAGTAAGCAGCCCTCCGGCCATGCCACAATCCCTTCTCTTCCATTCTCCTCCCAGGTTCTTGGGCACACAGGCACACACGCTGAAAAAACAACCAAAAACAATTCTAAAAAACAGTGAAGTTAGAAGAATCACACCAACTGATTTCAAGACTTACAGGAATAAAAGCATAAACAGACATAAGAATGTAAGGTTCTTTGTTGAAAGTTGTATATATGGTAATATCCTTGATTTGATTGTCATACACGATCTGCGTGCTTTGAAAAACCGTATTGTGGGGCCAGCAGGTATTGTGATGGTTAAGGTACTCCCACATGGCTGACCACGGTTCAAGTCTCAGACCTGGTAGCTAGCTTTCTCACTTTCCCTCACACTATAAAATTAAGTAAATAATTCTTTTAAAAAACATTTTGTACATCATAAAGATGTACAGCAATTAAATGTAAGAAATTATAAAATAAAATTTTAAAAAAAGACTTACTATGAAGCTATAATAATCAAATCAAGACAGTGTAGTATTGGTGAGAAGATAGACAATAGACAGCATAGAAAGCCCAACAATATAGTGAACTGATGTTTGGCAAAGGTAAAATGGCAAAACGGCAAATAAATGGAGCAAAGAAAGTCTTCTCAACAAATGGTGCTGAAACAACTACAGCCTTCTGAGAAAGGTAACCACACATTTGCTACAGGGAGACCTCTATGCTAGTATCTTCGTATTATACTTTACTTGGTTTCTCAAGATTAAATTACGATCTGTTCTCAATAACATATTTTTTAAGTTCTACAGGAAAAGCAGTTCAGCATAGTAATTAAGAGTTCAGATTCTATAGTCAGATTTTTGGCTTTATCACTTACTGGCTATGGGATCTCAGCACACACTATCTGAGCCCCAGAATCCTTCCCTGTAAAATGAGAATGCTAAGAGTTAAACCTCTCTCATAGTATTATCATATTGTTTAGAGGAAGAGAATACCTGTAGGACGAGCTGATGGGGTGGTAGTTAAATCTGTCGTGGCTGACTGCATGGTTCAAGACCCAGACCTGGCAACTTGAAAACATGCTGGGTGGATGTGCATGTGTACCCAAATCCCAAGAGAAGGGTGAGGAAGGGCCTACAGGGTAGCCATCCCCCTCGAGGGGGTACTTTCTCACTTTCTCTTTCTCTCTCTGTCTCTCCACAGCAAGCACATATGCCCTATAGCAAACTAAAAACAAAAACAAAAACAAAAAGATAATACCTATAAAGGGCTTTCCATGGCAACTGACATAATAAGTACTCAATAAAAAGTAGCTAGGATTTTTATTGCTATTACTACTACTATTTTTCATTATTACTATTAATAATCACCTCACTCTCAAAACAAAAACCAGTTTAGAGGAAGTGAGCATATGAGGGTAGCAACAATAGGAGGTTGTGATCAAAGAACAGAATATTGACTTTCAGAGGTGGAGTAGATGATAACTAGGCTGCGGTCATGGGAGTGTAGCTACCGTGGAGTAAAGGTAAAGGGCAGTGTCTGGAGTGGAGGTTAAGGAATTGAGAAGAGGTTACAGTCAGTCATCTACGTGATGGTTCTTTCTCAGAATGAGGACAGGAAACGAGGTAGAGAGGGAGACTCAGTTGCAAAGATACCACTGGATGCAAGAAAATATCGGGGAAGATGGTGACATACCCCTACCCCAGGCCTCCCCAGAACTGATCCCCCCCGCCGCTTTTCCCACTTCCTGGTATTGCACCAGAACCCCCATCCATTTTTCCCATTCCTACTACCCCCCACTCCAACTTACTGTTCCTTGTAAATGAGGAAATCAGAATAAAAAGCAAACTGTCCTACCATTTCCCAACAGCACCTCAAAAATACACCTTGGGCACATCCGAAGTGCAACCTATGGTAGATAATACAAGGAGGTTAACACACTTCCTGGTCCAATGCTTTGTAATACAAGGGAACAGGTAAAACATGGATATCAGTATCAATGGAGCAACTGACTGAATATCATGTAGCTTTCAACACTCCTCTATAAATAGCAAATGTAAAATAAAAGATACTCAGCAGATAATTCCGTATATCTCAGTATCATTTCTTACTCTGTAATTCTCCCTCCCATGAACCCACACAGGGAAGCACTACTCTCAGCTACCTAACTCGATGGTAGTTCCCTCAGATTACTTATTGAAACCCTTATTTTCATTCAGATCAGTGCTATCCTGCCTTCACGGCAAAGTGGCTTCTCCTTCTTTGTATATAAAGTCTGATATGGGATGGCTCACCTTTAGCTTTAACGTTTGAAGCTAAAGAAGCTTTATGAAGAGTCTGGCTTTTAATGCCTGTTCTCTGACAAAAGACAGATTCAAACCACAGCCAAGTCTAAGAGCCATTCTAAGAACAAAGAGAGAGTCACTTAAAAGGATTTGACTTGCTAGAACTCCAAATATAATTCATACTGCTTTTCTCTATGACATGCCATAATTTTTTTTTTTAAAAATCTTTAGACTTTTTACTAACTTTGAAGAAGGAATAAAAACAGTCACTTTAGAAGCTGGAGACACTTAAGCACTGATCTATTATAGTTTTTACACAACTGAAGAAGTTTACATCAAATGTATTAAAAAAAAACAGTACAGAAAACCTATAGAAAAGATTAAGCTTCTCAGTCTTTGGGCTAAGATCAAGTGCAGAAAGATCTAGAAAAAGCTATCTCTTAGAAAGCAGGTCAAATGGACTCAAAGACTTTATTGAATGTAGGAAAATCAACTGGAAGCAACAGAAAGCCTTCTGCTGGGGCTTAAGTAGGAACCAATCCGTATAATCAAGGAGTTATTTTTCTTTATGATCTAAATGCTTGCCTCCAGTCTGGGCTCAGAGAAAGATCCTGCTCATTTGAACTGGTTGTCGATTAAAGTCCCCTTCATTTTCGCTTTCTTAGCTTCCAGTTCAGCCTGGGGGGAAAAAAAGTACATGTCATAATACAACATTTCCCTTTCCTTTCTCTTTCTCTCTCTCTGTTTTTTCCTTTTCTTTTCATTCAATCACTGTGTATCATTACAGCATACCAAATGAATTTTCTTTTCTTTCTTTCTTTTTTTTGAAGAGGTTTTTTTTTTTTTTTTTTTTTTTTTTTTTTTTTTTTCTTATGGGTTGGTC